GGCTCCAGCCCCGAGCCAAAGCTCCAGCCCCTCCGGGCTCCAGCCCCGAGCCAAGGCTCCAGCCCCGAGCCAAAGCTCCAGCCCCTCGGCCCCACACCAGGCTTGAAACTGTTACTCGGTAAAATCAACTGGTTTCTCCAAAAGCTTTCTATTCCACGTGACGCTGTTGATTTAAGATAAAATCACATTCTGGAATGTATTTGTTCTCAGGATTTGAGAGAGGAAATCTCCCTGTGCATACTTAGCTCACTTCTTTGTATTAAGTGTGTTTGCCTTTGAGCATAGCACCACCTTGCTGTTGAACCACTTCACTGCTTTGAAAATTCACTTACTTGGCCTTTTCTGCAGCGTTTTAATAGCTTGGTTCTCTACTTGTAACTCAACATGGGCGTTAGGAGGTGCTGTGTGTCCCCTCCATTATACACCTTTTTATGTGCAACGCAGTGAGTCACCAGGCTTTGCGAAGTGGCTCCATCCAGGCACAGACTCAAAATGCAGTAGCACAAGGAAGGGTTCCAGGTCTTTGAAGGCTGCAGCGGATTAAATCGTATTTTCTGCTTTAATGTTGCTGCTACACAGCGGCTGTGCCGTAGAAAATAACAAGCGGAGGCTGCCATTATCAGAATAACACTGCTTTTCTCTGGGAACCATCAAAACCACAACCAGAGTAAATATTTGTCCGGATATAACATCAAAGGCTGCCACGCCAGCAGCTGCTTGCTAGGCTGGAGCAAGCGACGCGGGGAGTCAAGTCCTGCGAACGTCCGACAGCAGGCGCGGCAGCAAGGAAAGTGCTTCAGGAAAGCAAAGCATTTGATGTGCCTCCGTACGGTTCTCTGCTCTTAGGAGGAAGATACACTTAAGGAAAAAAACTGGAAGCACTTGGAAACATCCTAGAAAACAATAAAGGAAAAGTGATGCTCAGGTCCTCCCTCAGCTGCGAGCTTCCATAGCTATGAAGGGATAATTAAGCTGCAAGCTCCGTAATGTCCGAAATGTCTTAGGGAGTTTTCCAAGTGACTATTGCCATGACGGTAATTCAGCTAGAAACCGTTCATTTCTGAGTGCACGTTACCTCCACTTCGCAGACGACATTATTATTTTCACCCTCACAACCCCCAAATTTCTTTCTAATACCATATAGTGAAGACCGTGAAATTCAAAGTTGTTGAGGAAAAAAAAAACACCCAAAAGACTGGAACTGAAGATGATGCTTACAGATCAAACTCACACTGAGGACACCTGAGAAGCGTGCATGCTTTTAAAAAAAATCCATCCTTTTAGAATTAAAAGCATATTAGAATGGCTGCCTGAATTTGGCTTTCAAAGAAAATTCTGACAAGGCACATGACTCACATTTATATATAGAAACCAAGTCCAATTTAGCTTCTGAGATCACAAGATCTCTGCTACATCAAGGAGTCAACTTACACAAGAGCACTATAGTGAAGTTGATGTTTTTTAGATTATCTGAGTCAGCCTCACAGTGAAAATTATAGCGCTAGGAGCATATTCAACAGTTTAATTAAGTAAGAGATGCTGCTGTGTCTCTATGCCATGAGCCAATGAAGAAAAATTGTGAAATAAGCCTACGTCCACTGCTTACATGCGATCTCGGAAGCTGGCCCTCATGACTTGTTAAAAAAGTAGAGGTAGTTTGACCTGAAATGTCAGATCAAACAGGACATTCAGAGGGGGGGGGAAAAAAACCCAACCCCAACAAACAAACAAAGCAGAAATGGGTATAGAAGGAAACAGTTGATTTATGGGAATGAGACCTTTGCCTTCTGACCTTAACAAAGTTCTCTCAGTTGGATTGCAGAAGTTTCCTTGATAGATTATCAGTATAGGATAGTGGGGAGTATGTTTTATCTGTTCTTTAACAATATAACCCCACCAGGAACACAGCCAAGCTTTATGCATAATGGAATGGCCACAGAACACTCAAAACATTTCTTTCTTTTTTTTTTTTTTTTTTTTTTTTTTAAAGCCACTTCTCCCCTCTCTTCTAAGCATCATAACCCCTTTGGAAGTTCTTAGAAAGCTTCCTCTCTCAGTGTATTTTTCCTGGCCTACCACTCCAAATACAGGTAAGATAAACTAACCAGCAACTACACAGTTCACATGGGGACGCAGCAGACAGGCTAAGAACTCCAGTAAAAGCATCTTTAAGGAATCTGCTAAGCCAGTTGATATTGAGAAAACCAGTAAAGCTGCACTTCTCGTGGTCCAGCAGTCAATACCAGTGAGTGAGGCTGTCTGCAGCTGAACGGCGACAAAACAAAAGTCTTAACCCCAGCCTGTTACCAGACCACCAGCTACAAACTAGTATCTTACGGAATAATTTCCTCCTTAAATGACTGGGCCCTCTTGCCAAGGAAATGTCACTGCGGTGTTTGCCACGTGGTTTTAGAAAGTTACGCTGATCTGTAACAGCCATGACCTCCACAGCGCTGATTTTTATTAAACACAGTTCAGTTAGGCAAGGGCTACACTAACACTGGTTTAAACACTGGTTTAAACACTTGATGTAATGACTTTAGTCTCACTAATGATGTTTTTCAAGATGTGGATGAACAATGAAAGTTAATTAACAAGGAAAAAACAGTGCCTAATTTCACAGTACAAATTCATGCTGGTCTACTAGTCCTGCTTAGTCTCCAAGACAAGAAGAAGTTTTACACTAAAATGAGGTTATCCTTAGGTTTTCTTATCTTTTTACCCCAAAACGCTAACAGCTCACCACCACACTCAAGGAGGAAAGGATTCCTTCTGGTGCGTATGAATATATACTCTGAATCACCTTGAACAGGCTGCACAATTACAATTGGATTGGTCAGCTTTCCAAAAAAGAAAAACAAGAGTCTTCCTCCTCCTTCCACTCCCAAACCCCACAACAAAACAGAAGTCAAAGCGAAGAGAAAGGAAATAATTTATTAGAGATTTCACAAGCAAACTAACATACATTTATCATGTAAGTCTTGTGACAGTTTAAAGAGATCTGGAATCTTTAAGATGAGCAAATTTATACTCTGCCTTAAATACTTTAGAAATGCTACTACGCACAGTTCAAGAGGCCCGATGATTACACTGCTTCTTCCCTCAGCTTGGCAATACTTGAAAGAGCTGGAACACAAAAGGGACCTGGAACATCACAAAGGCACGTTAAAAGCACGAACAACCAGAAAATAGTAGTGTTATGCTTTCTTTTGACAACTAAATTGAAGGATGCTAAGTATTGAGAAAAGTGCTGAATGTCTGAAAAAAAAAAATCTGACTTAACAGATACAGGCTGTATTAATTTTATATTACAGTAAGTTAAACAATCGTGTAATACGAAACCCACAAGGAAAACGTAAGGCACTGGCAGCAACACTATCTCAGCGCAGAGAACAATCTAACTAAAAAACCAAACCCAACAGAAAGGCAGCAGTGATTAATAGTTCAATTCCAAACGCTTCATTGCCAGATAGAGTTGGATTTTCTTCTCTAATCAGAAAAGAAAAAGTAAGGAATGTACAAACTACGTCAACTACAGGTTGTTTCTCATACACCAGGAGAAGAGTAATCATCAAATGATCTAAAATACTGGTCAACCTTTCAGTATTATTAAGAATAGCTCTGCAACATATTTTAACCAACGTAGTGTTATTACTGTATTTATTTAAAGCAAAACAAGAAGACATCCTCCATGTGAGCTCAGCACAGCTCCGTGCACATCAGTGGAACACTTCCAGCTCATACAAGCTAAGGAATTGGACCACAAATTAGCAAGTTATATGACCTGTGAGGAAGAAGGTGGAGGCCACCTTTCAAGACCAGGAGCCTTCTTTGTGTCTATTCACGCAACACAGACAACTCATTGATATTTTTTTTTTCTTCCTTTTCCCCCTGAAAGAGCACCCTTCGCTTTTAAAATTACAGATCAGTTCAAGCTCTAAAACATGTAACTCCTCCCCACACCTACTCTACACGAAAACGTAAATGTAGTTGAGTGCTACGGGAAACATTGCACAAAAAAAGGATACAACAAGAAAGGATACACTCTGCATGACAGTATTACTGCAGTATTTACGCAGGAATGTTTCTAAAGAAGAACAGCAGAATGTGGTTTAATCTTACTTGATTCTCAGAATTGCATACACATAACTTTATGCTACCTATCAAAAGCAAATATGTCTCTCCGACAAAATACAGTTTTGACCCCTTACGAGATTTAATGAGGGCTGATGAGTCCACCAACACTAAACTCCATATTCAAAAGTAAACACATTTTTTTGATAACTTGAACTAGTAGGACACCAGCAGATTTTTCTGTCTTGTTAATGCTCCTTCAAGTCTTTGCCATTGTACAGACTCACTTTTTCCATCAGGTCCAAAACCCAACCATGTTTCCATTCAATGCAGGCTTTCAAGTCACTTCTTCCCTATGAAGAAGCTGGAGACCTCTCAACATCAGTTATGTCTTCTACATAACCTTTCTCCCAAAAAGTTGTATTTCAGCTACAGAAAAAATAGTCACCCCAAATACTAACTGAAATTTTTGCCAGTCCACCAAGAAAAAGACATTTCAGCCAGCAAGGAGTTACACAGTATTTCTATAAGCCATATGGATTCTTTTCTCTACAACGGAGAAGACCTCTGTAGAGAAAATACTAAAAAAAAAATTTATAAAAATATTTGCAATAACATTCATGAATTTAACACAGCTTCTTCCTGTTTAAAAGTAATCAAAAGTTTATGTCAATTTAGTTGTTTAAAAAAAACAACCCGACAACAACATTGAGACACAGGATACAGATCAAATTTCAAGTCCCTCAAATGTTTGCATCAACTTGTTTATATGCATATTTATGTTTCAAATGAGTTTCTGACACTGTTCTTCCTTGCAGATTCAGATTTCTGTCACGGTGTTTTGCATCATAAACCAGCATCCATCAGAATATTCCATCAGGAACAGGAAAACATAGTCATGCAGAAAGAGGGTTCAGTTTCATCATCAGTTGGCAAGTGAAATAAGTATTTTTCATTAAGCCTCATGGATCCCTAGAAATCTGTGTTAGTCTACAGCACATTCTGTGGTCTTCATGTGTGAATGGTCAAGGTAAGGAAGAAGTACTGCCCATGATATGTTAAACCAGTGACACCAAGGTAACTCATGTAGGACTTTCAGGTGCACAAATAAGTCTTGCGTAAGTACATGTTTGCTCACTCTAAAAAAAGCTTCTGAGTTGACCGTCAATATGATTAATAACCAAACAAGCACCTCGTTATTTTCTTTATGCAATTCAAGTACTATTTGGCATGTTTAGTGAAGTCAGAACCAGGTATAATGTATAAAGTTAGTTGGAAAGACACGGAATTCCTAAAAGAATAAAAAAGTGTTCACACCTCATTTCTAAGGCTTTCCAATTGCTATAAATACTTCGTTTTTGCATTTAAAGAAACCTTAGCAATTTTCTTATTAGGCACTGGATAAAGAAATATAAATACAAGGGTTTTTTCTGTCAAGGAAGGAGTAAGAAACAAGACTGAAACATTCACATAAGCCCTTGTTCCTAGTAGAATACTCTAGCCAAGGCTCATTTGTCTCTTTTTGATGGTCAATACAGAAGAATGTCTGCAGAAGTGATCTTTAACTTGATAAAATAAAAAACAGATTTTGCAAACCAGAAATCAATAACTCAACATAGGAACTGGTAAGACCTAATACCATCTCAGAAATGAGGGAAACAAGCCCAAATATAATCTGATAAAAAAAAAAATCCTTAGACAACTGACAGAACGAGAAACCTACAATTGAAGTAACTGTTATAAATACTACCCACACAACAGCCATAATGCGGGGCCTCCAACCAATTTTTAAAAATCAAAACCAGCTGTTCACATCCTTTATTTCAAACTTCGGGGGTTTTTCCAAAGTATTCTGGATGTTTTGATCATTGTTAAAAACACATCATGGATTAAACAGAACACTTCAGAAGCATTCAGCCTAAACTCTGAGTTCATTTGGTCTTAGGTGGAGGCGTAAACCAGAGTGATGCCCAGCTGTAACCTGTAATTAAGCTAAATGCCCTTTAAATTCGAGGTAGCTGATTTATTAGAGGGTACAGATTGAGAAATAAGTGCTTCTAATTCTTGCACCAGTTGCTTCACATGCTAATTTGAGACTGTTCACTACTCAAATGTTTTTAGGCCATGAAACCCCTCACAGTTAAATTAGAGCTGATTTTGCTTGAGTTACTCTCACATAAAGCAAATACTTAAACAGCACTGAAGTAAAGCTATATGATAAGAAATAAAGTTAAATAGTGTTTACTTTCTGCTAAAAGTTACTTTCCCATCAAGTTCAGGCAATAATGCCAAAAATCAGGACCTCTGCATTCCACAGCAAAGGAAGCCTTGATCAATGCATCGTTAAGTAGCGCTTCCTGACACGATACAGACAGGTTTAAAGGACGCTGCAACAGCACTAAGATCTCATTTTCCAAAGCTAGCAAAGCCAAAGGTCCTTTACAGAGCTGGCTGAAGTGAGTTTACTGTTGGAAAGAGTTCTTCAGGATCACTTTGCAATGGTGGGGACAGAAGGGAAGGAAGAGAGAGGCAACTTTTCAAAGCCAAAACCCCAGAATATTACTTAAAGGTAAGTGGTCTGATTCCACCATCGCTATTCCTAAGGAAGCCATTGAAATGATAATAAATAAAAACAAACAAAAAAACCCCCTACAAAACAAATGAACAAAGCCCCCCCCCCCCAGCCTATTTCTTTATTTTTACTTTCAGGCAGAGAATCCATACCTTGTGCAGTGTTCTACTTTTTTCTTTTCCCTTCATTGGCGTCCTGTTTTGGTCTAGCTGAACGAGCAAATTGCTGAGGTTCTGTTAAGGACTCCAAGTCAACGATAAGCAGATGCCAATCAAGAAGCAAAAAAGCAGCATTATTTCAGCAAAAAGAGTTTAAAAAGTGCCCTTTATCGGTGAATCAATTCTACTACAGTATTAAATATTCTAACAGTAGTGGCTGTTAGTCAAAGATTAAGACCTCACTGATCTGCAGAACAAAAAAATTTTAAGAAAGCCTGTCCAAGAGTTTGCAATACAAAGTAAACAAGGACTAACCAGGAATGGGTTAGGCACAAACAGAATAACTACAGAAGGATAAATGCTTGGTATTTACAGTCCTCCACCCCAGCACGTTTATTCCATAACTTTGATGTCTCAGTAGGCATTTGGGAGGAAAAAAGCTACAAGGAACAGAGGTGAACAAGAGTACAAAGAAAAGGAAATAGATTATGAAACAGAAGTGAAAAATAAGAAAGGACTTACAGACAAAACCAGGGCAATGCAATCGGAAGGTGTAGAAATCCCAGGCCCAAAAAGTAACTGACAGTTCCAGCTGGAGAAGCAGCCTAAATAGAGATGACTGACTGACAGGAACATTTCTTTATGTCCTTAATTCTGCAAGCACACGCCTGACACCCAGTCAAAAAGCCTACTTAATTCAAATACAATGGTCATACAAGCTAAATTACTGTGTTTGCAGGATCGAAGAGCTAACACCAGAGAAGACCATTTTACTGTCTTAAATAAAGCACATTTACTTTCCTATTTCAGAAGGGTGCCTCTATATATTTTTACAGTTATCATGAAATGAACAGTATACTGCACTATGCTGTCTGGTTTTCTTAAGGTATTAGAAATCAATGGAAAGAAGAAATAAGCAGAACACTGACAGCAAAACGAGAGATTGACAAGTTACAATGAATATAATGTAAATGTCTGAAGAAAAAGATACAACCACCATGGGTTTTTCAAATAAGACATATCCATTTGCTTCTTTTAGAGCTTTAGCAGCTGCTTTTTCATTAGGAAGTCCAATGAAAGCCTGTCCCTTCATACGGCCTTCTTTCATCAAACGGATATCAAACCTAGAGGCAGGAGGGAGAAAAAAAAATAAAAATAAAACTTGAGATTTGGGAATTACTCATGTTTAACCACACTTTCGTATTGCACAGTACAAATACAATTCGCATGCTTCAACTTGGAGAAGTAGCAGAAACAGGAGCAGAGCGTACAAGCAGGAGTTGTGTCACTGGAGACCATTTTACCAGTTAGTAAAAAGTGACATTAGACTGCAGGATGGCAAATTGGCGTGCAGCTGTAGTAAATATGATCTATGCAAAATGATCAGATACACACAGTCAGCTACACCGTTCTCTCTGCATCGCTCCGCCAATAAACGGTAACTTTGGTAATGAAAATATAAGGGCAAAACAGCAGGGTCCTCGAACACTCTTTATCACAAGTACAGCAATGGAATTATTGTTTTAAACAAAGATTTACAGATGAAATGCATTTTTTCTTTATGCAGAAGATGGAAAGCTATGACTCGTTTTTAAATCACAATTTTCACCGGTATTACAGAAGTTAACATAAAAGGCTTAGTTTTAACCAAGTACCGAATTAACTTACATGTTTCGTTCCACTTCTGACTGGAAGTCAACATATCTTCCAAAAATGAACTTGAGATCCTGAAATTTAAGGATAGGTATAAGAGTAAAGCTGATAAAAAGCCCTTCTGATAAAATATTTAATTTGCTTGTTTACCTACCTTTTCTTGAACTTGTTTAGCTAAATTCTTCACATATATCCTGCAATTTGGATCACCTGGCTCATAGTTTTTGAAAACAGAAAATTTTTCCATTTCTTGAAGAAGACAGAAAAACAAACAATGTTTTAGCTCACTCAGCTTTTTTGCTCAGTATAAAATAACTAAATTGAGTATGTGATCAATTAATAAAGGAAATACTTATTTAAATTATTTGTTGCAACAATTCAAAGAGGTATTATTAGATAATTTATTCTCCCCAGTTATACCTTCTCTAGAAAGTCTGTTTTTGTCTAGATCCCTTCTAGAAATAAATTCTGATGGTATTTCATCCTCCTCCTCTTCAGTTTCCATTTTATCATTTGAGCTAGGAGCTGGGAAAATCCTTCCAAAGCCCGTATTATTGATCTCTTCGGTGGTTGCATAAAGGTCTGAAATTTCAACATGTCATATAAATGGTTTGTATGTTTATTCACGAGAGGATCAATAGCAAGCAAAGAAGTATACTCCTTCCAGCAATGTTTTGATATAGTAGACTTTGTAAAGCAATTTGAAGTCATCCTTAAAGAAACATGTCTTAACCCCTGGTTTGACAAACACACCTACTCTATATGGTCCTATAAAACCAACTGTGCTACAAAATAAAAGCCACGGCACGTGCCACTTGGGGTAAAACCAGCCTTGCTGCTCAAGCCCGTATCCACTTCAGTGGGCTACCCAATTTTCATGCAAAGAAACTGTACATTACTGTAAAGTACCAAGACACCCAGACTGACCATAACCCTGTAAGAAACCACCACACCTCATTGCTATTATCGCCCAGCATTTTTATAGCAGACACTCAGTGCATCACAGGAGGAGCTGGCAATCACTTGAATGCTGCTCTCTAAGAGCTGGAAAAGGAAAATCTGAGGTTAGGCTGACACATTCAACTACACTACATAATACTGAGAACGCATCTGTAACATATTTGCTAAAAACATCTTAACATTTAAAAGAAAGGGCAATTCACCATGAACACACAGATCACATAGAGACCTTTAAAATCCTATAGAGCCTTCACTGGACTAAAGCACATGGCTCTGTGCTTTAATACAGGAAAAATAGCAAATGCAGACAAGACACAAGTTGGTGCTCATGAACAAACCCTGATATACACTACTTATGAAAGCTCCAATATAAAAGAAGAAAAGAATTCCCTGGCCTAAATGTCAGCAGCCTTCTGCACCCTGAAGCCACATGAATTTAATGCCAAATACATTTGAAATACAAAGTCTCTTACCATTTTTTTCTTCTTTTTCCGAGTTTATCTGAAGAACAGCTGGGATGTCAGTAGTAATGTGGAACTCAATTTTTTTATGACCTACATGCTGTGGCTGCTCAAAGACATCTGAAGGTGACAGTGTGGGGTGCAAATTACTGTTTAAAACAACAACGTGTTAATTGAAGCGTCAGACACTGATGAATGCATAGTCAAATACAGTTTCTTCCAGACAGATTTGGTGCTGTTACCACAAACACACGAGATCTCCATTTCATAAATTTCACCCAATATAGTTCACGTTGATTAAAACACTGCAAACGCAGTAAGCATGGCTGGCAGCAAGAGCTAAAACAAGAATTACATACCACATTACAGTACAGACAGCCGCTTATGAAAAACTATCAGTAACTTAAATACAAAAAATAACTGGCCTTGCTGCTGCTCTCACATTGTGCATAAAATACTCCAGAATTTAAAAAAATATAGCAAATCACTTGGAGGAAGAAGATGGCTGTTAGTAAAAATGGTTTTAAACTAAAACAGGGTAGGTTTAGACTGGATCTAAGGAAGAAATTCTTTGCAGTGAGGGTGGTGAAACCCTGGCAGGGGTTGCCCAGAGAGGGGGTGGAGGCCCCATCCCTGGGACCATTCCAGGCCAGGTTGGCCGGGGCTGTGAGCAACCTGATGTGGTTCAAGGTGTCCCTGCTCCTGCAGGGGGGTTGGGCTGGGTGACCTCTGGGGGTCCCTTCCCACCCAAACCATTCCATGATTCTATGAAAAATGCATTCACAATCGATCATCCCTACACAGAAATACTACACTGGTGTCTACTGTGCCATAGTACTGCAGTTTCAAAACCCAAACTTATTTTAAACTACATCAGTTTTTATTCTTCTAGTATCATGCTTTTTTTTAATTTTAAATATTTATTTTAAGAAGTATCCCAGACAATAAACCCAGATTGCTTCTGCCAGGGCTGCGATATGAAGTTTTTCTTCTTTGTTATGAAAAAGGGATTTTTATTAGTTTGATAGCAAGAGAAACACACAGCTTGAACCAGGCACGCGTTACAGATTAAGGTTGTTGGGCAGCCTTGAGTTCAAATTAAATGAAAACCTGGACCTTTATAGCAATAAAACCAAGCATGTGGATAAAGGAAGACCAACTCCACTATGAAATTTACATATCAGTGAAGAATGTTTGTTTTAAAACAGCAACACGGAAGCAAACATGACACAGAGAACATCCTCTAGTAAAAGGAATAATCTTCTGAAACCGTGCAAAAACCACAGAAATAATACAAACCTGTGGGGAGTACACACGGGCACATTCAGTAAGTCTTTAATTCTTTGCTTTTTTCTAACACCACGCTTCTTTGTGTTTATTGGTCTTTTAGGCTGAAGGGTTGCTAATTCCATCAACTTGGTCATTCTATATTAAACAAAATTTAAAGAAGATCCAAAGCGGTTTACAGGTTATTTGAAAATACTCATTTTGAAAACCCTCCCCCCTTCCTCAAAGCCCTCGAAATATGACTTTTCAGAATGTGGCTACACACCTAGCTACCTTAAGACCGAAACAACATTAATAAACTATAATACATGGAAAATTGATATTCACAAAGCACTTGAAGTGACCTATCAAAATCATAACGAATTCAATGATGCCTCTTCCTTCCCCAAGCACGCACCTAATTAGGACACCGAAGCTGTAGAAGTGCTAAGAAGCCCCCAAGCTGAACCTTTTTTTTGCAACGCTATTTCCACCCAGCAGACGTGCCTTTTTCCAAATGCATGTATTTTTCTGAATAGAGCATAGGGACTTTCTTACTTTTCAGTTTAAATAGCGACTAAACAAAATGGCTTCTTCATTTGGTATTAAAAACCAGCTGTGATGTAATTCAGTCCCAACACTGCAAGAGAATCCTCAGCACACACAATCTCCCGCTATTATTACTCCTAGCAATACACACTGAGGTGTCAAGAACATTTTGGAAGTCAGAGAGCACACGTCATTCAGGCTGAGTAGTTTACTCAGTAAAGATGTGGAAAAAGGAAGAACCCAGAAAAACTAAATATCGCTTCCTTGTATCTGCACTCTCTCTTCATTCTGAGTTTCTGTTTTGTTGGGTTTCCGGTTTTGGACACGGGAACAAATAATAATTTGCATCCCATTTGGCCATTTCCCTTCCCTTACTGCAACTCAAAACAGCACGGTCCCTCTGGAGCTTACTTAAGCATCTGGAAAGGTTACCCATATACTGCAAATGTTAACAGATTCCACCATTTGCTGAACTAGAAGCTAGAAAAGTAAACCCACCACTTTAGAAGAGCCCAAAGCTTGCAAATGACTGTAAAATGCATACCTCTCTTTTTCCTCCTCATTATCACTTTCGTATTCTGATTCATCTCCACTAGATAGTTGCTCTTCTTCCTCTTCAGGCAACGGAGGCTCTTCAGGGGGCAGAGGTGGGATTGGGGGAGGTGGCGCTGGCACTGGTAAATACTCTTCATACTAATTATGAGGAAAAAGTTAAAAAAAAAGTAACTAAATGTTTTAAGGAAAAAACCTGCATATCTTGTTTTCCTTTACATGATAAAACCAGCCAAAGTAATAAATTAGAAGATGACAAGAAGCATTTTTTTTAAGTATGCTTATAGGGACCTAGATGCTATTTTGCTAAATTACATTATTAATGAAAACTTTCTACAAGAAAAAAAAAAAATGCTGCTTTCTGAAGCGTAATAGTAAATGTTTTCATTCTTTTAATTTGAGGAGTTAAAAAATTAGCAACCGTGGCCCTGGGTTTTCACTTTGCACTCAGCTTTAAGGACTTTCCTGAGAATATGGTCAAAACATATGGGAGGAGGCTTAAGCTCCCAAGCAGTCCCAGTTTCTACACTGAACCTTCCACCACCTATCAAAGTTACATTTCTGCTTCTGTAAGGAGTGAGGATTTCATGAAAGGAATCAGGTTTTTTTCATTGAGACTACAAAAATGACATATAAGGAATTCCCTATGTACAAAATAGTCTCCAGCCCCACTTTCAAAAGTAGCTGTTAAGTGTAGTAGACTGTTATGTGCCATCAGTTCCATAAGGCACTGATTGTCTTCTGGCATTAGAAATACTCTGTGCGCTTTAGAAACTGCTCTAGGAATTTCGAGGACTGGCTTCTCACCTTACAACTCTTATTGCATGACTGTTACATTCACAGTGCTTAACCTGGCCCAATACCAGGCAACAAATAAAGTTATTCCCAGAAAATCTGTGTGAATTCATTTATTTGATAGATCTGTTTCATAGTTTTCTTTACCAGCTAGCTCTCCTGTTCTTAGAAGCAGGTGCTCTGCAAAGTGTAGTGGGGCACAACGTCGCTATATCCAAATACTGTACCTGTCACTATTAATGCAAGTCCTCACTTGCTCTGTCAGTTAAACTACTCTATCACAGCAACACAGAACTGCGACTGCAGAGCTGGTATTTCTGCTTCCCTTCACAAACACTTCCCCCTAAGCCTCTGCCTGTTTCCCTCACCCCTGCCTCTTTCAAAAACATCCTGGAGACAGAGCAAGTTAAATCCAGAAGCTCTGTGTAATCTCATTAACAATCCGAATCTAATCAGAACTCTGAAGAAACACAGGGATCAAGGAGCTTCACACACCTTTGTAAGGCAAGGGGCTAATGATATTCTTTACTTCTTGTATCTGTAACGTGATGCTATAACCTCCCTTGATTTTATACTCAACAGTTTGAAGCATTCCAGTGCTACTGTCACGCATATACATTTCTTTGTTCTAAGTATAGTTAGAAGATTTCTTTAGAAGACTAACATGCACATCTTGCCCAGCGAAATGCAGCAGCATTTGCTAGCCCCTGGAGATTTCTCCAACTTGCAGAAGCTTGATCTCCTACCATGTTGCTAACATTCTAAATTGTGAATCCATTTTACAGTTCTTAAAACATATTTCAAGAAAGTTACCATGGGAGGGCGAGCAGTAATTGGTCCAAAAGGTGGAGGAAGATTCATTTTATTCATAAGATGAAGTACCTGAAATGATTCAAGATAAGATGTCCTTTGAATAAACAAATAAATGAAAATAGTTCCTTGCTCGGTATCACGGCCGATTACTCCTGGCAGGTGTAAATCAGCACAGTTTTAATGAAGACACAACTACACTGGTTATTAAGCAATGTGAAAGCCTGCACTTGAGATCCAACGCTAACAGTAAGAATGAGCAACACCCTAAAAAGGCAATTCAAAAGAAGTAAAGCGTCTTCTCAGAATGGAATTCCAAGTACTCAAATCACATCTAATTAGGAAGATCATATCCAGTTAAGTCTTCAGTGTCAATGAAGTAAGTTACTTCTGGTCACGGAAATCTTATCTCAACACAGTAAAAAAATGAACATTGGTTAACACTATCACAGGAAAACTAACTTAATATTTACTATGACAAAAATTATTTCTCTTGCTAATTAAGAGAGGAAAAAGGAGAAGTTTTCATTTTTATACTTTCTTTTTTTGCAGTTTTTTTACTTACCTGGACATAAAATTTGGGCACACTTGCCAAGGCATTTGCTATATTTGCTAGAATTGTACTTGAAGGTGGTGGATACAAATATTTGAGGCAAGAATTGATGGGAAAGGTGAGGCTGAGGAAAGATTAAAAACAAGACATCTTAGCACCATTGCCACGTAATGACTGATAATAATTAATAACTACTAGAGGCTTAGCTATTCATTATACCTGAAGTACCACTGATATATTATTTCCCCTAGAACAGTTCTGGGCCACTTACATTATGTCTCTAACATCAGGGAGCAGTCCCCTACCGCATGACAGACTTACTGGGCTTGCGCACAGTGAAAGTACCAACACAGGCAGAAAGCCTGAAGCGCACAGAAACAATCAACAAGTCCAAACCCAAAAGCACAGCGCAGCATAGCCTGCTGTACAAACATCATAAACTCAAAGCTCAAAGCGCTGGATTTATTAGCCCGACGAGAAATTTGTTCTTCATGTATGCAAAAATGCAAATGGGGGAAAAAAGAACAAGAAACCTCTGGAAAAACAGAAATCAAGAGTATTTTGCAGTTAACACTGGGGCAACCTACCCAGTCCTCAAACTCTTCCTGAGAAAGCAATGCCTAGCGCTAGAAGGCTACGGTGCAGTCCACAACTGCACGGCTCAAAGCACCAGTCACTGCTCAACTGCGAGGGTTCTAAACTTGAAGAACTAAAATTCCATCTTTATGACCATTCCTACAGCTACGCCTGCAGAACAGGAGCATACTATAAAACAAACCAAGAGAGAATGTCGCATACAGCTTTCTCTCCTGTTCAACAGTGCATAACGCTTACTTCAAAATAAACTGTAACAGAATAAAATAATTAAGACCAAAAAAGCCACTAACCCATGGTTGGGTGCAATTCCATTCTCTATTTTAACACAGCTCGGTTCTTTCTTCTCTTCTTCTTTCACTGGTTCTTCTGAACTGGAAATTAATTTAGCATTAATTGAAACAGGGCAAAATTTAAGTGTCTTACAAAATATACAAAATATGTTTAACCTCATCTGTTAAAAAAATATAAGAAACAATCTTAGTATTTTTAACATCAATGGCATTACTACAGCCATTATTACGTCTTAAGAATGAATACATGTAGATAATTACAGCAGCCAGACTTCTAAAATTAATATTTATGCAGATTTAAGTAAGTCTCCCCATATTCAAACACTTCTGACTTAAATCTGCTTACAGGAAAAGAACTAAAATTAACCCACGTTACTCTCTGTTCAGAGAGCATATAAAATCAAAGGTATTACATTATTGCTTTGTTCATATTCAGACAGTGGAATAAATAACTTAAAACCTCTATAGTTGATTTTAAATAAGCACTATCACATAGCTTCTATTACTTAGTTACACAGGTAAACTTCAAAGCCTAACTATGCAACTTATTTTTTTTAATTAAGTACTTGACAGACAATTGAAAGTCAAACTATCACAGTTCTTGGGCATGCTATCATTACAATTAATTGATTTTTTATTATTATTATTATTATTTTTATTTTTAAATATTACCTATTCTTTAACTCTTTGAAGACTCAGACAGTTTTATGTTTGTTCCGCTCGTGCTTCAAGCCAGATACAAGCAAATCAGCTCCAGCTGAGAAGCCAGTGGCTATAATAGTACAGTCTGATAGAGTTATGCTAGCAAGGTGTCAATCCTGCCTGACTCGATTAGATCAGAAAGAAAGATCGGGAAAGCACTGCATGCACCGTTTAACAGCAAAAGAAAATTATAATCCTGACACAACAAAAAAGTAGAAGAGTCTTTTTAAACACAGGGAGCCTGTGCAACACAGAGGCCAGCTTACGCAGACTGGAGTCTTGCTCTGTAAATGAGAACACACAGGACCATCTGCTGATTAAAGATATTAACAACTACAGGAAAAGGATGGGAATTATTTGATGATGATACCGAATGAAGCAATGCTAACGGGAGGAATGCAGTCACTTATCTATAGATCTGAAGCTGCCTGTTAACACTTCTTAGTGGTTACACTTTATCCTTTCACTTAACAGTACTCCAAAAGTATCGTGAATACAGAATTGCCTTTCCTTGACCACAGACACAGAAAGTAAATTATTATGCACATACCTTTTACACTTCTCTGAGACAGAAGGCTGGCTAAGTACCTGCACACTATCTTGCTCCTTCGCAAATTCAACAACTAAGGTGTGACCTAAAAGTTTCAGCTGATGCAGTCTTGACAAAGCCTTCAAATAATTAAAACAGAGAAAAGAAAGAAAGGGAAGGGGAAAACCGTCAGAATTATTTCAAAGCATAACTCTTTTTTTCTTTGGTTGGTAAACTAGCCACAGGATGCAGTCCCAACTGCTTTAAGCTCAGTCTGTGCCACTACAGACACAGGCAGCTCTGCACCGTCCCTCCCCTCGCAGCCCTGCTTTTAGCAGCCCCCTTCCTGCTGGCAGGAAGGAGAAAGACGAGGCTGCGCAGCTGGAACCACTGCAGAGACCCAGGCCATACGAACACAGCAGTGAGACTGCAGCCTTAACAACGATAGTTATTACATAGCCTGGTAAATCTCCGCAATTTATGTAACCAGCCTCCTGCTCAGAAACTACAAATGTGCTGAAGTCCACCAGTAACAGCTGGGAATTTTAAAATCAAGATTCTTAACAGTGTCACTAGGAAGCTCCAGCATTCTGCAAGTCCAGATCCTGACAGGCTGCTAACAACTGACACAAAGCCACCTAAATTCACCACTGCTCACCTCACACAGCCTTTGTAACTTTTTTTTTGAGTAATACTTTACAGCATGACCTAAAAAAAACATAAAAGCAACACCAAAAAAACCATGCTGTAAGAAGGAAATTCAGGGGCCAGGCTTTTCACCAGATTTGTGTTTAAAAAGCATTATTAGTATTACCTTTTTGGCATCCATGCCCCCCACTAACAGGGTAGTTTTCTTTTTCTTATCAAAGTTGGGCATGCAAGGCAATCTTGAATAACGTACATCACTATGCCTGAATTTTATGGCAAACATGGAATTATGCAGGAGACAAGTTTGCTTTATAGTTAATACATAAATGCCCACACACCCTAGGCAAGGGCCCCGATCAGTCTCGACTCACCTAAGTTTTTAAGTGACGGGTTGGATCAGATGACTTCCACAAGCCCCTTCCAACCCACCTCTCTTACAACTCTACAGAAGTGTTCATTTTACCAACTCCTTCAAGCACCTCCTGGCTCAATTACTTACAATTTTTTTTCTTCTCTCTCTCCCCCCCCCCCCCCCCCCCCCCAACACTGAGTACTAGATGATGTGTAAACCATTTTAGGGCACAACTGGCAATTCAGAAGAGTGTTTTGCTAAAACATTCAATAACAAACTCAATACGAACCTTCACAGCTGCATTTTCACTGGGGAAGGTAGCAAAAGCAGTATGTTTCTAGAAAACAAACAAACAAAAACTGTCATTCTGAATTCAGATCAGAAAGGTAAGAAATTGCATGTAGAACATATACCCCGAGTAATTCCTAAGTTCAGGTTTACATGTTGGAGAGCTTCCAGACAGCTGCCATCTACTGTGGGGCAAAGGAGAACTAGAGAATGTTTTTCTTAAGAATTTAGGACAAGCACCTCTTTGCAGTCAAAAATTAAGCTAGGAACTCAGCAGTTTGAGGGCTACAGGAAAACAGTACTTTTTTTTAGGTGAGCAAAAAGTCACCCTGACCTGCAAGAAAGCACGTACTGATAAAGGAGTTTAGTCCTCTTTTCAAAAAAGGAAACTTATTTCAGCACCTCTCTGCAGGACGTTTTCATCAAAGCAACTCCTAAAAGTAATACTTTTCCTGCTACAAAAGTCATAACTATTGTTGTGCTCTGAAAGTTTGGATGGTTTCTGACCAACATTTTCCCTTTCTTTTTCTTTTTTGGTTGTGTTTGGAGGTTTTTTTAAACAACATTTAGGCACAGGTCACTTCAAATGAGATTGCAACAGTGTATTTACTATTTACTGTACTCTCTACTATCACTTTGCATTGCTATTTACTATTCTGTGGATTTACTAATTTTACATGTTCTAGAGCCTACTGGGAACCTTCTTGTAACGGTGTTGCTTTAAGCCTGAACCAAAAGGGATTTGTTTGCAGCACCTGGCATAGATGAGGAGGAGACTGTGTTTCAAGGGGAGTGTTTTGTCCAGTGGCTTTAGTTTAAGCAGCATCCAGCTTCCATACCATGCCCCATTTAGTGACAGCACAAAAATGTGTGGACGTGTAGTAAACTAGATAAGAGGACTGGGCTGGAAGTTACCTCCTTAGTTACCTTTTGTTTTGTGGGCTGCCTTTTCCTTGCTCAATTACTTACAATTTTTTTTCTTCTCTCTCTCCCCCCCCCCCCCCCCCCCCCCAACACTGAGTACTAGATGATGTGTAAACCATTTTAGGGCACAACTGGCAATTCAGAAGAGTGTTTTGCTAAAACATTCAATAACAAACTCAATACGAACCTTCACAGCTGCATTTTCACTGGGGAAGGTAGCAAAAGCAGTATGTTTCTAGAAAACAAACAAACAAAAACTGTCATTCTGAATTCAGATCAGAAAGGTAAGAAATTGCATGTAGAACATATACCCCGAGTAATTCCTAAGTTCAGGTTTACATGTTGGAGAGTTTCCAGACAGCTACCATCTACTGTGGGGCAAAGGAGGACTAGAGAATGTTTTTCTTAAGAATTTAGGACAAGCACCTCTTGCAGTCAAAAATTAAGCTAGGAACTCAGCAGTTTGAGGGCTACAGGAAAACAGTACTTTTTTTTAGGTGAGCAAAAAGTCATCCTGACCTGCAAGAAAGCACGTACTGATAAAGGAGTTTAGTCCTCTTTTCAAAAAAGGAAACTTATTTCAGCACCTCTCTGCAGGACGTTTTCATCAAAGCAACTCCTAAAAGTAATACTTTTCCTGCTACAAAAGTCATAACTATTGTTGTGCTCTGAAAGTTTGGATGGTTTCTGACCAACATTTTCCCTTACTTCTTAAGTTTTAAAAAAAAAAAAAACCTTAAACTTTCCAAATCACATCAAATCCTCACAGAACACACAGTTCATCTTAGATTTGTTCATTACTGTTGAATCTTCATCACTTCACCTTGCCCCTACACGCACGATTTGGTATTAAAGACACAAAACATTAGTATGGTTAAAAGAGCAGCTATCGGGAAAATCAGCGTAACCGAGTCAGTATTTTTAACCTCCTGTAAGAGGAAGCGTGACCCTGACGCAAGATAAGGACACCGTTTATCTGCAGTTCTGCAGGAGCGCAAGGCTCTTTCCAAACAGCATTTGTCACCGGAGAGATACCCCGATGTTTCTGTGATTTGGGGGAAGAAAACCACAAAAAAACAAACCAGTGACTTCAAGAGACGGGCCGGTGAAACGGCATCCCTGCGGCGACCAGCAGCCCCCCCCGCCCCGCTTCGCCA